TATGGTGTAAATGTTCAGACCTGTCCATCCCACTGTAGCATGAATGTGTTCTGACAAAGCCTAAAAGGCTAAGAGTCAGAGCAAAGGACTAGCAGCAGCGTGGCACGGAGGAGGAGCGGTGCTCAGAGGCGGTGTCACCACTCTGCATCCTCCTTCCCTTTGCACTGTCACCTGCTGCACCAGAATCTCCAGAGGTGGAGATCAGAAATGAAAGACAAACTTCTTTGTTTGCCCACTTTTTCTTCTGCCCCTGACAGCCAGGCTCTAGACCTCATTTTCCACAGAGAGAAACACTTATGCAACCCTGGGGCAGTACGTCTACAAGTAAAATAATGACTGTGAAAGCTTTCTGGGTCCTTTGCATGAAATGTGTCAGACTGTGTATCTGAAAGCTAATTCCCCACACTGGCCTTACAAAGTGCCTTTGCCTTTAAACATTCAGAGCTCCTGCCCTTTGAAAACACATTTCTGCCTAGCACTGAGAAAGCCAATTTAGAAAACTGTCCATGTGGGCACAGGAAATAGTCCTGAGGGAGGAAACACCTAGGAGGAATACTCAAGCTGGTGCAGCCAGGTCAGTAATGAGCAACTTAAGGATTTAGTGGCAGCCTTTCAATAGTGTTTCATTTTTAACAACAAATGTCGCCATGAGCACGTTTGGTCCCCGAAGACACATTTTAAAAAGGCTATCTCCTGAGCTGTAGAGGATAGAGCACATATGAGCACAATTTGGAATCTACTAAGCTATACAAATAGATTTGTTAAAATACTAGTGAGATCAATAAGTACAAGTTTTGAATAGGGGGAAAATATATTCTGCCTTTGTTTTCTGTCCTTTGTGCAGAAATACTGAATTGTAGAGCAGAGCCAGAGTACCTAAGGGACAGCTACCTCTCACAATTGGGTTTTTATAGATAAAGACACTGAAAGGGCTTCCTAGAGAAAGGTGTCAGAACACACTGAGATCTCACACCTACCTGGCTCACTTCCAGCCCCTAAGAAAGCTCCTCACAGAAGCATTCCGAAGACAGAGCTCCGCTCTTACAGGGCTGTCTGGGCTATTATTATACAGGCTCTGCGGTGAGAGCGAGCAGACAATTCAATCTGTGCCTACCTCAAGGACTCCAAGCACTGAAGAAGAACTTGGAGATTATCTAGTCTGACTTCCTCAATTGACAGAGGAAACAAAGGCAACCTAGAAAAGTAAAGCAAGCATGCCAGAGTCCTACATTGGGTGCAAATAGACTTCTCCACAGTGGCACCACTATGAGATTGAAGAGATTGAAGAGATTCACTCTCTCCTGCGAAGAGGAGTCTTCTACACAGCAGGAAGTCGGATGTCAGGAAAGAGCCCTGCATCACAGACAAAAGAAATCTTGGGACAGAAGCAGCGCTATGGTGTAAATGTTCAGACCTGTCCATCCCACTGTAGCATGAATGTGTTCTGACAAAGCCTAAAAGGCTAAGAGTCAGAGCAAAGGACTAGCAGTGCCAGGGACCTCTCGGTTGTGGGGCTGTCATCTATTTCACGGAATGCTCAGCAGTACCCCTAGTGATCTTCTCTACTCAGGCATCATGGAAACTAGTGTCTCCAGACATCGTCACTTGTTCTCAGGAAGTGGGTGAGGAGGACAAAAGTCGCCCAATGGCAAACCACTGGGTTTGAAACTGGTACGAAAAGCAGTCAACTCTCTCTGACTCCCAGCTTGGTGCTCATGAATACCTGCTTTCATATGAATGTTTCAGAACGAGGGAGACGTGAATAATGCATTAAGCCAACTCTCATGCTTATGTCAAATGATTTACTAATAAGCTCTTAAAAAAAATCTTGCAAATATAAATTCACTGCATTTATTCATCTGTGTGTACCTGGCATAAATGTGAAAACATATTAGCATGTCGAGGTACATGAGGTAAAGCTATAAAACAACGCATCTCATCTTGCCTTGCTTAAAACACAGTAATGTCAGTTTACAATACAGTTCAGGAGGAATTTAGATCCTAAGTTCAATTCCTAGTATGAGAGAGCGAGCGAGCGAGCGAGCGAGCGAGAGAGAGAGAACGAACTTTCTTGTGAAGTTGTTTAATCATCTTATCCTAAAGATAAGAAACTCAGGTAAAGAAGCTGAGGTTCCCTAAACAGTGCTTCAAAACAGTGCCAGATTCCTTTGCAACAGATGAAAAAACCAGGTTTATGAACACACAGCTCCTAGCACCAGGGCAGCTGCTATTACCGGCGGCAGCCTCTGACTTCAGAGTTACGATACTGAGACGTTACCTGTTTCTCTTCTTCCGGTGCTCCCTGTTAGAATTTTCTGATTCACTACCACTGCTGGTGTTGCAGCGTGAGCGCGACCTGAAGACAAAAAGCAAAGCCAAAGACCTGTGTTTATAACAAATTACAGAAAGGTTCATTTGGTTCTTTGGAATTAATTTTGCAGTGAAATTTCTAAGCCAAACATAAAGACCTGCATTATCCCCCTCCCAGGCAGTATCTGTGAACTCAGACACCTGAATAAGTCTCCAGCTCAGGCTAACAGCAAAGTACGGTGAGATGAAAGCGGATTAAGGCAAATGTCATCATGTTCCCAGGAAGAACCACGAAAACCAATTGCTTTCAACAAAACTCCCACATGGCAAAGCTGTAAGCCCCTGTGGTGGAGGAAACGTGGAAAAGAGCCTTGTTCCCCGCCACCTTTCCCCCAAACAGAGATGCAGAACAGATCTCCTCTGTCCTTGAATTTATGCTTGTCCTTCGAACTGGTTTTATCAATGGATTTAGGGGTGTGCTACCATCTGCTAGCTTTTGCTTCCTTCCAGTCACCACCTAAAAAAGTCCAGCTAGTGACAGGGAGAGAGTGCACAGAGGCCCCAGGTCCCTGGACAACGAAGCCTCACCTGCCATCTGACACAGCCTCTCACAAGACCTGAGCAAGACTAGACAAGGAGCTTTAATGCGATATGTACCAGCCCAATATGATGGACAGATTCATTATGCATCACAAACATGTACACATAAAAATGCATTATAATATATACACGAGCCACTGTGTTTTAGAACATTTTATAAAATAGTAATAGAGGGCTGGTGAGATGGCTCAGTGGTCTAAAGCACCCACTTAGAACAAGCTTAGCAAAGCACAGGGACTGCGGTTCAATCCCCCAGCACCACATGCCAGCCAGCCCCGCCCCCTGGTGGGCTGAGCTGGCTACACACACACACACACACACACATAAATAAATAAATAAATTTTTTTTAAAAATAAAATAGTAATAGATAACCCATCTCCTCTGAGAAACAAAAGCAGGGGGAAAAAAAACAAGAGAATTGTCTAAGGATGGAAGGAATGGGTGAGTAGGAACCAGCTGAAACCAAGTTTTTTTTTTTGGGGGGGGGATTTATAATCCAGCACACTTTAGGTCATCATAAAATCCAGCCCCTAAAGCCCTCACTCTTCCCTTAACCCTGAGCAGGGCTAATCTGCTAGTTTTTCCTCCCTTGCCCTGACTCCCTTCTTCCCATTCTGTCTGTTTTTATTTTACCTCCTCCTTTGCTTTAGATCCGAGTCTTCACCACTGTTATGGGCTTTCCTGTGGAAAGCAAAGAAAAATAATGGAATATGTAGCTGGCCATGAGCAGCACACCAAAACAAGTTTCACTGCGGTGAATTCTGGCCCGTCAGTGTAGCTGTGCACTCACCACACACGCAGGTCATACAAGCTGGGTTCCCTGGGCCATGCCCTCGGCAGGTCCCACAAACGCATGCCACCAGGGCTCTAGAGGTCTTCAGAAGCCTGCGAGCAGCCTAGAGGGGCTGCAGACCCTCAATAACAACACACACCTTGTTTGTTGAACATATTTATACAACAATGGGTTCAGCCCACAGGTCTCCAGGTCTACAATCCTCTCTGTCAGTTCCTGCACTGGTCTGAATACGAACCCCATCTTCTCCTCTAATATGGTGCATGATTTAAACACGGTGCCTGCTACTTAGAGCCTTGGTTTTACCAGAATCGCCCACCAAGTGCTGTTATGAGAAACAAGTGAATGGATACAATTAAAAGGCAGAGCAGACCTGAGCCAAGATGAGCACTGAATATTGTCACTTCTGCTACCTCCTTAGCTAATTCCACTCTGCCCATTCTATCTGATAGGGCAGCCTGCTGACCTCACAATTCTCTACCAGCTCTTCATCTGTTTTCACTGCCCGCCTTCTCAGCTTGGATTTCCTAGAGCATCATTTCAATTATATGTGTGCTGACACTCAACACTTCCCCAACTCTGGTTTTCATTCTTTTTTTTTTTTTTTTTTTTTTTTTTTTTTTTTTTGTGGCATAAGAGCACACATAGGTGAATCCAACAACCCAGGCTCCCCGGGCCAGCCAGCACCAAATAGCTAGCTAAGCAATACTGGAGGAATGTAAAGACCACACTGGATACACTACAAATCCACGCTCATGAACCGCCATGGGGCCACACCACGGCTCAGCAACCTCACCAGCTTTCTCTAGACTAATTGCTCTGTTTCTGCAAAGTATATTATTCGCTTTTCCTCTGGCAACTCTGTGGCGCATGGCACCTCTGCTTCAGGATAGGACTTTGCTTTCTCCCTCCAAAGGAAAAAAAATGGAACTCTTTCATCTTCCTGCTACCAAAAATAAAAACTTCGCAACATCTTCCTGTTATTTATGGATGTGTTCTAACAAGTAAGGACAGTGCCTCCACCTATGCCAGGCAGTCTTGTCACCTTGCATCTTCTCAGTGACCTTCCTTGACCTTCCTTGACCTAGTCACCTGTCACATTCAGCTGCTCTCTGGCAAACCCCTTCTGCCAGATTTTAGCATTCTCAAGTATTTAAACAACACACACCCACTTTGACTCCATGTCCCCCTCTTTTGTCCACCCTGTCCTCTTTCATTAAAGCCAAACATCTGGCCCTTGCTCTACTTCTTGCCGGTTATCCCACTCTGGTCAGGGTGGACATGGCTGTTTCATGCCACCACCGTGGCTTATGCTCTCCTGCTGTCCCCAATACAGTTACAGCTCATAGGGTAACATTGATATTTGTCCTTACATCAAATTTTTGGGTAATGATTTAGTATAAACAACATACACATTGTTCACAGGTGATCTAAACTGCATTCTAGGGATACAGTTCTATTCCTCTATTCCTCTACAGGTACATGAGCCACCTACATAGTTTACTTTTGATTGTCAGTAATTCTTCACCTATACTCTCTAAAGAGCTGCCAGATTCCTCCTGATTCACAAGGTCTGCTCACATTCTGCTAAGTTCCCCTGCCCTCAAGCTCAGACCTGCGCTGAGCTTGTGTACTGATTCACCACTTTCTAGGGAATTCCTTTTGATTCTCAATGACAGATCCCATATTTTTAGCTTTTAGGACTCTTTGTGTTGGTTTTTGGTGGATCGCATCTTCTTGTTTGCACACAACACTTCCATAACAACAAAGTATGCTTGAAATATATGACACTGTTTACATTTTTTAAAAATTTGTATAGACTGGATATGGTGGCAAATGCTTGTAACCTTAGCACCTAACAGGCTGAACAGGAGGACTGCCATGATTTCGAGGCCAGCCTGGATGCTGTAGTGAGTTTAAGGCCAGCCTGAAGTACACAAAAAGGCCCTGTCTGAACTCCCCACAAATTTATTGCAGTAAAACACACATTGCCATGAATCTTCTCAAAATGTCCCCCTCACTTTGAGGATACTTATACCATTCTTCTTGCCACTTGCTGAAGCAGTTTTGGAAGTGTCCACCAAGCACGATGAAAAGCACAGTGAATCCTACTTCAAGTAATTTCCACTTAGAGGCAGACCAGCAAAAACACCTCGGTGGGTCCTCGGCTGCCTCATTCGCCAGATCTGGCATTGTTCAGCTTCTGCCTCTTCCTCAAAGGAAAAGTGAGCCACAAGGCAAATGTTTCAAGTGAATTCGGGACAATGGCACAGCCATGACAGCAAAATTAAAGGCACAGAAAGACTTCAAGAAGTGCTTCAGCAAATGGTGAGCAAGACGGGCTAAGTGTGTTTCCCGCAAGGAGAGGCTCTGAGGAGGCTCGAAGGAGGGCTAATGGCGAGGTGTCTTTGTGTGATTTTCTTTTTAAATGTAAGTATTTACTCTATTTTTCCACCATACCTCATACATATTTTGGCACCTGAAATTTCTAAAAATGTTTCTCTTCTACACATTTAATTATAGCTCATCTGTGTATAGACTCCTAAATTGAAAATCATCCTTTATATTTTAAGGCAATGCTTTCTTACCTCTTTTTCTCTGATATTGCTATTAATATTTTTGTCTATATTTTTTAATGTTCTTTTTTACTTCAGAATTTTATTAGCTGAATGTTTAATATCTAGGTTCTATAATTTTATTATCCTCATTTACACATATATCTTGGTTTGTCTGTGTTCTACTTTTGGGAAGATTTCCTTTATTTTGTCTTCCTATTTGTACACTGATTTTTTTTTTGTTTTTGTTTTTATTTTTTTTTTTT